AAAAAAAAAAAAAAAAAAAAAAAAAAAAATGTTTGACTAATACATTATTATATTAGCTGCTGTAATTTGATTGCTGTTGTTGTAAAATTACATTTGTTTATTTTTATTCCAAATTCAATTTGGCGAGGACATTATCGAAAAATCCGTAGGAGCCTAAAACCGTAAAAACCGAAAGTCATTTACGTAGCGTTACTAGGCTCCATATCTGTAAGAAGCTCTCTCTGAAGCTGATCATTAAAGCGCTTTTCAAGCAGAGGTGGTTGTCATTAAGGGAACCGTAGATGTTTTGTCTCAAATGCAGCCTCTTTCAAGGAGAACTCGCTCGTTTGAAAGGAGTGTCTGACCTTACCACCGATAGCATCAAGTTATTTTATTAGTTATCACACTCTCCACTCAATACCATTCATCTTGCCGCAGTGGTAGTTCTCCTTCCCTAAAGACGTGCACGCGGTAAGGCTAAAAATTTTGTCTTAAACTAACTGTCAATGTTTAATGAAGGAAAGTGAGATGGAAACAACTAAGCACTTTCGCCTTCTTTGCAATATTGAAGTTGAAGCCTTTTCAGCTTTTCAACACCTAAAAATCTTTATTATGCGTTTGCTGCAAATTAACTAGTCAAAAATTACGGAAAGTCGATGTTATAGAAAGAGGAAACAAATAATTTACACTCGATCCATAAGAGGTGTTGAGAACCCTTGCTAGACTTACTTTTATGTTTACTGAGGTGAATTGACAACTCGCATGGGAAAATCGTATGAAAAATTCGAGACCCTTAAGGGGCTATACCAGTATGACACTTTCAAAACAAACACATTTTTTTATTTGCTTTTTCGATAGCTTATATTTCCATAAATATCCTGTGGAATCGGGAAGACCGTTTCTTCATTAGTTTTTGGGTGACAGCGTTCTAAAGAGCAACCGCTCGGGGGTGCAAACATATATAAATGAAACTTTAAACGCGTTTTTCTCGAAACGACATTTTGCTGGCGTCGTAAACAAGAAATTGACAGATCGACTTCAAATTAAAACTGAGTATTTTTGAATACATTTACAATGACCTACGACCTTTGTGATTGGTTGAAAATTGTCACTTTGGCTTTAAAAAAAGGCCAATTACCTGAAAACCGTTTTTTTTTTTTTAATTACGCCATTTGTTAATTTTCGATATTTTTTAAAGATCGTAGGTCATTGTATAAGAAACATCTTTATGTTTAATAAACTTTTCAAATTTTTTTGTTTCACCTACTCATTCGTCCGGAATCATGCCAGCAGTTGGGGCACTTTTTTTTGGCTCCTACGAAGACACCGTTATTTTTTAACATTTTTGTAAAACAAAAACAAACATAAAATATAGCTGAAAATATACTTTATTACATTCCAAGAAGTTCGAAATATTCAATCGTGTATTTTCTTTAAACAAAAATTACTTAGGAAATAGAAAATTTAAAAATGTCGTGATACATTAGAAAAATAATTGACATATTGAGATGAATAAAATCACTTCTCCTTACAATCGAATAAGAATACCGAAAAGGTTATATTAACATCCGATAAAAAGCATAAGGCGCAAGATATGACGAGATAATTCATTATAATTAAATAATGAAATCACACTAACAATGCGAGAACTACACACAACAAATTGCGATTCCGCAAACAAGCACGTTTTACCTTCAGACCGCTCAGCTAAAAAATTCTGATAAAAGATAACACAGAAGCTTGAGTAAGCAGCTTCACAAACATAGTCACACACAAACACGTACACAGCATTTGCTCAATGAGAGCTTACAGTGATTCAATGGATTGCTTCGTTTGACACGTGCGACGCATTCACAATAGATGGCATTGTGTCTGTGAGCGCAGCCACCCAACACTGCCAGAGTAAAAGTACCGCTGGCGTTCTAACTTCTATGTGAGTAGGTGACATCTACATATACACACACGTCATGTAGTAGGCGTAAAGTAAGGTCTTACTAGCATTACTATCTCTGTGTGTGTTTGTGGTTATAGCAAAGCAAGAAAGGAAGCAACAGCATCAGCACCAACATCGGGGCAGGTGAAGATCATAAAGCTGCGTTTGCGGCTGCGCATTAGTTTGTGCTGTTCTAATGTTTTATAATACTTACTTTACTTAATATTATTAACTTTGTCAATTTCGCTCAGAAACAAACGAGGTGTGTTTCAAAACGGCGGTCAGACACGTTGCTCTAAGTAAGCGTACAGCGTACAGACAGGCAGGCGCGCAGGTATTGCTAAACTTGCTAAAAACGTCTCCACACACAATATTCAAAACCGAGCAACCAATTGAACGCGCCAATAGTTACGAACGCGCAGGCGTAGAACGAAGTGCAGCAAAGTGCTATTGTTGGCTGAGTGCAGTGCAGTGCGTGTAAACAAAATACATTAAAAAAAGTAGTGTTCATAATAATTAAACAAGTGTACCTAACCTTAAAGTGTGCTAAAAATTTTAATAAAAAATTTGAGTTTATGCGAAAAAAAAAAATAAAAAGTTTGGAAGAAAAGCTAAATTATTGTTTGCAATATTGAAATAAGAGAAATAAATTAACTTGTGGGAGCCTAATTACCGTTACGCAATAGTTCACTTGTCTGCTCTTCAATATTGACGAGCCAAAAAATGCTGTTGCGTTTAGTGTCGACATTGCTTGGCGTGGTGGTCGTAAGTTGTTTCTTCGCCCGTCGAGTTTCCGCGCCTTTCGGCACTAAATATATTTATTTTTATTTTGCTTAAAGTTAACGGTACTGATTGGTTACTTACCCAACACAGAGGCTGCCTCGACTCAACGACCTTACGAGTTTGGTTTCTCAATCGAGAAGCAGCAACATCGTCATGAGAAAAAAGGTGCGTATTACAATGGTGGCATGCCAAAGATATGGCGCCACTATTGTTTTGTTGTTGCAATGCGTTGCCTGAGCATACAGCTGTCTTCTATTTCGTTTACTACTTTTTGTTGGGAGTTAACTAGGTGATAGAAAGTTCAGTTACTTAAAATATTAAATTCAAATTAGTTAGATACTTCTAACCTCAAGTACTTGTTTTCTGGACATTATTAACAGTTTCATTATAGATAATTATATTAACTGCTGACATGCAACAAGCAAAGTTTAAAATCACATTCAAAAGTTGGAATAATTCGTACAGTCGAAATTTGGCAAAGATTATTGCCTAACACAGTGCCATAATCTGCGAACCTATTGTTCAGATCGGACCCCTATAACATACAACCGTCCGATAAAAATCATGCTATATATATTTCTCTGCACTTTTATGCCATAAAAAATGTACTTGTGAAAGTATTAGCTGCCGTGCAATCAAAGTTATGGTGCTCTCCTGTTTCGAGGGTCTTACATATGTATATAATAACATATATATAATAATATAGGGTAATTATTGGTTTCCTCACAATAAAAATATTATGACAAGAAAGCTTCAACAACTTAAGGATGATAATATTCACACTTTCTATCAAATAATTAAAATATGTTATTTTTAGTATCACTATTGCATCTACAATTGTTCTCAAATTTTATGTTGAAGACCTCAACCTATGTTGAATACTAATTAAAATGAAAGAAGGGTGAAGCAGTTTTGCACATCGGATACTCTAAATTTTAAATGAACCACGAACATTGTATGTCGCGGGCTAGTGTCTTAAGCCTTTTGTTATATCATTATTAAAAATCGTTTAGTACTATATAAATGAAAAGATCTTACTGGTTGACAGTGGTAAAAGTTTGTTAAGGAAAGGGAGCTACAATCATCTCAACTATTCCTTCTGGATTTCACTTCAAAAATGCCTGGATTTAGGCGCCGCAGACTACACTTCACCCATACAGGTCCAGAAATCGCCTCAGCAGATTTATAATGGGCTCAAGACGCTTTACAGATAAATGGCTCTATTCTAGAAATGTTTCAGGTAGAATTTTCCAATGCACACCCTTTCGACTTCTGTTCCAAAGGAACTTTTTGTTGTATTTTCTCCCTACAAATGTTTTAGCATTTCGCCGGGTAAACTAACATCGACATGCTTTCGAAGTTAACTTTTTTAATCATTTAAAAGTTTTTTGCTGACTAAGAAATAATATTATATGTCTTCTTGGCAACAAAAGTGTACATAAAAATTACAGCTGTTCACATATCTTACTTCAATAGATTGATTTTTACAAAGATAACACAAAAATAAACACAAAGTCATATTGAAATGATGGCTTAAATCATTTCTAGACGCTAATGTAAACTCTCTTGACTACATATATTTATGCATTCCAATAAGCATATATACATATGTATGTATGTATGTGCACGCCTGTGACTACGAATTAGCTAGCAAAAGGCTATTAATAAAAGTGATGATTGTGTAAAGCTTTATGATTTTGGAATATTACCTGGGTGAGCTATGTGCGCTTATATTGATGTTACTCTTAAAAACATGCATTTACATATACATGAAAATAGATAGCCACTCATATATTATATATATTCTATGTACATATGGATTCGTGCACTTGCACTCTTGCAGTTAGATAACCTTTCGATACCAAAGCAAATCATCATTGCGTCTGTCGGTGCAGCAAACAACAATTGTTGCAGTAAACCAAAAAACAACGACATAAGTACATTCATACATACGTATGCATGTGTGCATTTGAAAAGCATCAATCTTCTTATGGCTAAGTATTGTCGGCACCGCTAAGCTTAAAAGACAAACAATAATTCACAGAGATGTCAGCTTGAAAATATTATAAAGACACCAGTTAGTCAATCTCGCTGATTGCTTATGCCTGTGTGTGGGTGTCAAAAACGTGTCCGTGCGGGTATGAGCGCATTCTAAACGCCTCATTATGCTCAGAATAGTGCTGAAAGGTCAGTAAAGGTCAGTGTGTAGAAATGGTATTATGCAACATGGAGGTTGGCGTAATTTATGGAATGACATTTTATAGCTTTTCGAAAACCTTATACAACATGTTGAACTACAATGAACGAGCAAACAAACCGAAGAAATAACGCCATAAGAAAACTGGTTCGATAAAGAACTAAATGCAAATTTTGAAATGATTACCGGTTATTTATAAGACATAGGGGTGACACTATCTCATTGAATTTGTGCATGGCTATTTTACCAAAAAGGACACAGAAGCTTCCAAGTTTTGTGCTTTTATGCACATAATAGCGTAATATTAATAAACGTTTACATGTTTCCCAGATAGATATTTATTTATATATAGTTTCTGGATTGAAAAATGGTATATTTAAGGAAATAAAATAACTTAAGCCATATTAGTTGCTTTCGAAACAAACCAAATTAATGTGAAGAGCAATTATTTGTAAATAAAACTTATATAACTTCAAAAAATTCTTTCTTTGCATCATTTGCAAAATTCTTAGGTGAGATAGAAGTTAAAAATAGAAACTACAAACTTCTATCTTTGACTGTTTAAAAATTAATATTTGAAAAGCATTATGCCTTCGAATGTTCAGCGCAAATAAGAGTTAGAGTATTTCAATTAGTCAATAGTTAAGCTAATATATCTGCTGGCAGCTTAGCTTAAGTGGTTATGGTCAACACTTGTAATAGTACAGGAGACCTAAGCAAGCAAAAGTTGGTAATTTTTTCTGAGAGTAAGGGAAAAATAAGCATTTTATTTGTTTCGTGCCGTTTTAAACATGTGTTTGAGCGTACAAAATATTTTTTCTATAGATTTTGATATTCTGATTCACAATGGGGTCTACTAGGTTACTCTTCGGTATTTTTTTATATGAAATTACGACAGTATTTTTAGGATTTCATACTAGTTGAAAAAAAAGGTAATCTTACTTTCATAAAATTTTTAACAAATTTCCACTAGTAGAATGGCTTAACCCCTTAACATAATTCCAGCAGTCCAAATGACGGAAGTATAGACAGAACTATCAGCAGCTTGGCAGAATTTTGGGCTTTATGTAAACATCACATGTAAAATTTTGACAGTTGACAACCATTGTAGAATCTCCACTTGAAAATAAAACTTCCGTCAAAAGCTGAAAAAATTAAAAACCTGCATACTCTAATGATCACTCCTGAAACTTCCTGCAGTTACATTAAGGGCTTACATGAAGTTACTATCTTGAAATCGTTTTTCTTTTTTTTCTCAATTAAAAAGTTAAATATATTATTAAAAATTTGTGTTATTGCGAAAGCAAGTATTTTATAAAGATTTTGTTTCAAAGGAAAATATAGGGATTGGTTGGAGAAAACACAGTGAACATGTATTTTTGGCAGGCGTTTTTTACAAAAATTTTGTTAAAAATATATTTGCAATTGAAAAGTTCTTTATTCAATACATTATAAATTATATCTCGCAGACCTGTATGGAATTTCAATTAGATTTGTTGATTTGTTTGAAAACATATTGATAACCAACCGTGAAAACACTATTTCGAGAAAAACGCTTTAAATCTTTTGAAGTAGTTATGTAGCCCAACTCGCATTTTTTTAAGGTTTTATCTCTAAAACTATTCTCGGATCAATGTGAGCATTAAACAAATTTTAAAACGAGATAATAAAAAGTTATTATTTTTAGCCGGGAAACCAATATAACCCCTCAAAAACAACTTATTTTATTAAAAATATTCCTTTCCATATAATAATAAGAATAAAACCATAACATTTTCTGCTATAATCATTACACCCAAATTTATATTATTATATGGCTTACTGTTTTAAAAGTGTTCGTGTATTTTTTACCGATTGTACTTAACAATCTAGGTTGATTAATTTTTAAGTATATGTTAGTACGGTAAAACCCTTCTTGGTTAAAATTATTCCGTTTTCTGTTTTTGTCAAGAAGACAAATTTGTCCAACACATTTTTTAAATCATTTTTTATGGATACAATTAATTTCTGTGCAGATGTTTTCTATTTAAGAATGAAATTTACAACTCTTACGCTATTGCTTTTTCTAAAATTCGTCAATGAAACAATGAAACAATCAATACAAAAACATGAACAATTTGCGTACTTATTTGGCTATTCGAATAATTCATGCCTACATATATTAGAATTGAAATTTGCATAAAACCATTTCGTTCCACACAAAAATCCGCAAAACCAGTAAGCATTCCAACACTTGGCGTCCATAGACAAATCGGGTGGTAATGAAACTGACTTGGCTAATTTGAGAGTGTCAATAAATCACCTTTAAATTACCGATTGATTGATAAATTTTATTATTACTGGCGCTTGAAAAATTATCGCTGTGCTAAAGAGCTGTCAATTGGCACTAAGTGAACAATTGAGTTCATGACATAATTTATAATTTAGTGCCAAATAATTGAGTGCAAACAAAGTTAATCTTCTCTCATTTTAATCCGTTTGGTAAAAAAAATTATGTATGTCTGGTTTGATTAAATTTTACTTTGAAATAAAAATAAATTTAGCTCATGCACAACTCATCGCGTTTTCTTTAATTAAATCAAGCCTTTGCGTTTTCAAGACAGCCTTTCATGGCGTATGAGTAAAGTAAATATAAATTTGCGATTGCTCCGCATATAGGTGAAATTATATTGCTATAAATTATTTTTTGTATTATTTTCGAAACCAGTTATTATAGATCTTTCCAGCATACACCGCAATTAGTGAGAATTCAATTAGCAAGTCGCAGAATGCTAGATAACACACCATCATCTTGAGGTGTTGACATTTTTGCTGGTGGAATTTGTGAATATCAAGTAGAAAAAAACTTAAAATCTGGGCATGCGATCAAAAGTGTAGCTGCATTATATTGAAACAGGAGCTTGGGTTGTTTATTTTTAACACCTAAAATTAGCTGCTGACGAAATCGCTACAATTGGATTATCTGCGCCATAACAGTGCCTCAAAAACATATTACAAATATTTTATATTAATGGAATGAACTTTTTATTGTTCAACAATAAAGTAAACACTTTTTGTCATAACTTTTTAAGTAATTGATATGTCACATAGAGCGATTGCCCAATTTATATTGTCGGTCTTTACAGATTTTTAAAAATGACATTAAAATTAATAATTAAGCTATTAATTTTAAAACAGATGCCAAGTGGAACACTTACAAATCAGTTATTGTAATAAATATCCTAATGTCGTTTACCTTTAATTTCTAATAAGATATGTTCAAAAAGAAAGACGGTTCTTTTTTCATACTTTTTTCGTTTTTACGTCTCATATTAATGAGTTCATAACACTTCTAGTAGTTTCTTTCGAGTATAGCTTTGAGTTCTTTTAGTTGCATCTTTCTGGTAAATTTTCGGTTTGGAAAAGGCATTATTTGCTGTAAATGTGGAACATATAACGTTAGCATTTTTTTTTTCTTAATTATTCGAGGCACATTATATTCACACTCCTTATTAACATCAAACTCTTCCGAACAGAAATTCTTATATACTACGCCTAATTAAAACAAGTAACCAATGGCTAAACTCGGGTGCAACCGGACATTTCATACTTTGGAAAATTACTCGGATTAGAGTTAGGGAATAACTTTATATTAAAAAATTGTTGCGAAATAATTCAATATCCATTATCGGATCCAATTACAATCAAATTTGGTGTTTTTAATTAGTAGTTTAATAACTTTACTTTAATATATTGAGTTAATATGCAAAACGTCAACAAAGAACATCGCAATTAAGGCCAACCGGGAGTTTGAAAATCGTTTAATAGGGATATGGGAGACAGATGCTGTATTGGCCCGATGTTATTTATTTTTGTCATTACTATATATTATTATATTAGAAAAAGATTATCTCTGAGTTTTATTAGGTACCTCACATACTATCAACAATATATGAGGAGTAAAATCAATTGAATGTTTCAAAACCTGATATTAGCTAAATTTGGGCTACAATAATATTTCACCAGATTTTATCCAATTTAGGTACAAAGATGTTTCGCTAAGAAAAAAAATCGTCCACTAAATTTAATTAAGATAAATCACATATTGCACGATATATGGGGTATAAAGTCAGCCAAAAGTTTGAACTTTTTTCTGTTACGTATATGGAAGCTAAGAGATATCGAGCCAATCCAGCCCATTTTTGACATACAGACATACTACAAGTATTATAATTTCTTTTTTGTCCCTATTTTTTAATGTATATCTCACCTATTGACCAATGTTTACGGCAAAAAGTCAGCCGCTATGGAACTTGAAAGCGAAGCTATTTCCATAAAAAGGAAAAGAGTTAAATCGTGTAAAGGAAGGCCCATATTAATGGTTTTTACGCAACAGCCAAAATCCTTTATTTATGTGTAATTCGAAGAATATACTGTTGAATTTTCATGGAGAAATATTAAAAAAATATGGCAAAGGAAGAAATTATCTGAATCGTCTCAGAAAAAAGTTGGATTGTGGTGCCACTCATAATTAGGTGCTGGACCGTCGGAAATCAAGAAATCAATATTATATCGTTAGATAATCGCTTTGCTCAGAAGGTGTTTTCGATGTTTTTTTTTTTTTTTTTTTTTGTAACTTTTATGGAAAAACGTGATTTTTTGCAAAAAGCTGATTTAATTTTATTAATGTAAAATGAAAGATATTAACCAATTAAAAACACTCTCCAAATTTAGCATAGAAATAGTATTTGAAAGCAATCGGTGCTGTAGCTTTGAAGTTATAGTGAGCACCGGCGGGACGAGGAGTTGAAGGGAAACCTTTAAAAGTTTTGAAATCTAATATAAAACGTTCATAAGTCATATGTAAACATATTTATAATATGTAATTTGGATATAAGAGAAAAATTTATGTTATTAATTTCATAAGCAAATGGTTTGGCATAACAGTACAAGTATAAACTTTATGCACAACTGTAGAAACTAGATACCCGAATTCGCTAGTCAAGATACACAAAATTTCTCAGCGAAAGTGCTTCTTAACACAATCCATACAAAGTCTTTTATTATGTAATAAATATCAACAGTGTTTCCTAAAATTTACGGCTTCTCTATGTGCGCATTTCCAAAAATCAAGTTGAACAAGGAACAAAAGCACTTTATTTCCAGTGAATAGCAGACTATTGCTAATTAGGCGAAACATCAATACTTTGCAGAGCCGAAATAGTCAGAACACAAAACAAAGTAATAAATGCAAATAATTTGAAAATAATATACATATAAAAAATATGATAACATGTAGCCGTTGAACAAGTTCCATTCCTGTATTTTGAAATTGGAACAATAGACATACTTCTTCATATTGCAAAAGAAAGTGAAATTTCGTATTGAAAAACTATGCAATTCGCTTTGTACCTTGGGGTATGGTATTTTTTATAATCATTCAAGCCGTAATAAGTTATGATAATTTGATAGAGGATACTTAAAAAGATCTGATAAGATTATTTATTACTTCTCTTTTAACTTAAAAAGAAATATCAATTTCTATTTGATTTGAATATTTGGTATTATGTTATTAACGACTTTCGTTTGAAATAAATCAAATATACATTTTTTAAAGGTATAAGCATAAAACAAAATGAAGATTTTTAGCTTGATTTTGATCGTTCATACATTCAACGTTTCTAATGCAGCAGTCGATAACTTGTTATCTTTTGACTTTTGCTTCTGCTGCCAATGGAACTGATCAAGTTCACTTGAGCTTAAAATGTCGAACGGTTTTGTCACTATCCAAGAGATCTTTGAATCTGTCTATCAAGCAGTCAATAACATTTTCCATTTCTTTGGTTTTTAAAGCACATATTTTTCTGGAATCAGCAAACATAGTTGAAATTCATTCAATACTTCTCTAAAAACGAGTATCTTCAAATCATCGAAGATTGTATCCTACAGAGGAATGTACACTGAGTTTAGAATTTTCCCCATTACTTTCTTCTGACTCCGACACTGCTTTATCTTTTGCATTTTTCAGTAGTTTTATCTTTTTTACCAACGTATTTGTTTTCCAAATGAGTTTTGGAAACTAAAAAAGCTGGCATTTGAAAGTGCAACTTGAAAAGGTAGACTTTACTCTAATAGTTGCACAACCCTAAATTTTATTTTAATATATTTTTTAATGCTTCACTAACAAAAATAATACGAACCTGTTCATCTAGATGAGCGTGGCATCGTTATGGGCGAATTTGGTTTCATAACCGCTGACGGCATTTATCACGTGACAGTCTATGCAACTGATGAAGAGGGAAAATTTCGCATATTAGCTATGCGCAGTTATCCCTATGAGGAGAATCCAAGTGAGTATTTACGATTAAGGTGCACACAAAATGTTTAGAAATACAACTACATATATACTTGTGATATTTTCCCAGAGACAATCGAAATGGTGGTGCGGCCGAAGGCTAAGCCGACTACACCAAAAGCCATCGCTCCACCTTCACCTGGCACGACAACGGAGCGCGCCAAACCGAAACCTTTCGAAAAACACAATTTCAGTGTACAAGGTTGTTCCGGCTGTTTTATTAAAAATAACGCACCAACAACAACAAAAAAACCAGAAGATAAAAAATATGACATAAGTCTCCTATCAAAGCCGCTCGCACCAGAAGGAACACCTGTTATTGGTAAGCAAATTGTTTCGCAAGTTTTCCCGCAAGATTTGCCCCAAGTGATACAAGAGGTTCAATTAGTCGAAACAAGATTGAAACAAACAGCCACAAATGTGGTACCCAGGGTAACTGCAGGTATAGGCTCAGCTATTAATTTGGCACTACCAGAGAAGAATACACAACAACAAACAACACAAAAAGTACACACTGCATTCCTGCAACCTCATCTAACAACACCTAAAGTACAGAAAACACCAAATTCACAATCCGCTTCACCACTTTCGGTACAAACAAATAATATAAAGGCTGGCAAGCCAATTGCAGGACTTAGTACAAACACAAACCACCTGAGTCTTTCAGACAATGCGCACACCATCACACGAAACCCTCAACTAACAACAACACAAAAAGCACAGGGCTCAAAACCTACGCAACACAATTTACCACTTGCGACACAAACACAAATCAAACCGTTAGAAACAAATAACATTCCGCAAAATGCTAAAACACCCGCGACACAAACTCAAGCAAAAGTGCCAAAACCTTTTGAAACAGTTAGCGCAAACGCAAACCATTTGCGTCCTGTCATTGCGCCGAACGTAGGAAGTGAGTACACAAAAACAAACTATATATTTAAATACACAGAGTTGCATTTTCATACATTTCGCTACAAAAATACTTTTTATACGGACTTGCTATAATATTGCTACTTTTACAGATTCTGCACCACCTGGTACCACTTTAAATGTCGGAAAAGCAAAGACCTCAACCACCGGCGCATATGCACCACAAGCACCCGGTAAAACCGGCACAAACGGTTAGTGTAGTGAGGAGCACACACAAGTAATCTTCGCTTGCTATAAATTCATTAAATTTTCTATTTCTACAACCGCAGCAGTTCCCAAAGCTCCGAGCAATCAACCCTCTGTCGGCGTTAAGGGTTCAACCAGTAACATTTCAACCCCTAATACTCAAATTACGGTTCCGGCGATCAATGCTGGCAACACTGGCGGCGCAAGTACAGGTATCGGTGGTGCTAGTGGTGGAAGTAGCGGCTTTGGTGGAACCAATAACTTTGACGGAAATAGTGGAAGCGGCGCAGCAAAAGGGGCTGTAGGCAGTAAAGCAGGTAGTGTTGCTGGTTCTGGCAGAGGTGCGCCTGGCAGTAAAGCAGGCAACGCTGAAGGTTTTGCTGGCGGTTCTCCTGGAAATCAAGCTGGCAACGCCGCAGGCTTTGTTGGCGGTTCACCTGGTAGTAAAGCTGCAGGATTTGGCGGCGGCTCGGCTGGTGGTAAAACTGGCAACGCTGCAGGCTTTGTTAGTGGTCTCGCTGGCAGTAAATCTGCCGTGGGCGAAGCGGGGGATTTGTACCGCTTCAAGTATCTGCTTGACTACAATGGTCACCGGGAAACCGGCTCGCATAATGGCAATAAGGAAGGGAGCTTCTACGCCATTGGCGATGACAATGTGGAACGCACCATTGAGTATATCGCGAATGAATTCGGCTACCAGCCGCGTGTGCGTTTCCGTAAATTGGACGCACCTGTGCTAGCGAATGAAAATACGCTGAAAGATTATGAGTTTGTGTGGTTCAAAAAGGCATAAGCGCCATAACGATGATTTCGCTAAATAATTTATAATTACATGTTTTTGTTTAATTTATTTATGCTGAAGTTGCTGTTGCAGCAGCGATCGTATGAGCGGAGTGGCACCAGAAAGAGAGTACTCAATAAATTTAATGAAAAAGATAGCGTATTTCGAATTTTGAAATCGTTTTATTTCCACTCTGATTTTTTATATATTTTTAATTATTTTTGCAGTTTCATTTATTTTATAATTTATTTTGCTTCTTAATCACACTAAAATTTATTTTCCAAATACACTGCAATCAATTGTAATTTGCACATTTATGTTTATTTAACTTTTAAATCTTACTTCTGTATAATAAATGTGAGGAGGTCCTTTAATTTATTTATACACATCGAGATGACTTTAAAATTACATTTTTTATAATAATGAATATTATTAATTTGTAAATACATACAATTAGAGAAATGTTACTGCGAATTGGTACTAATCTTTATTTCATTTCTACATTTGTAGTACTGACCTTTTTACTTCATTTTCATTATTTTATACATTTATTTTGTTTTTGTTTTTGTTTTTGTATATGCAGCTGTCATATTTGATTTGTTTCTTAAATGCAATACGCAGTATTTATGCACAGTAATTAATTAGAATGCAAGTGTTTTTGGATTTAATATTTTTCTTTTTACCGTCAATTGCACATACATTTACACGCACACAAACGTAGATATACATGTTATTTACTGTTATCGGAATTTATTTCATATAATATCATACACCAAGATATGAACAGACATTTAATACACACAGATTTCTTAATACTCTTTCTTTTTTTATTTCTTAAGGACTTATGAGTACCGTTAAACATTAATTTTTAAGTATACATTTGAAGTACATATGTAATATTTTTCTGTTTTTGTTTTTGTTTATGTATGTACTTTTTTGTTTTGTTAAAATCAATAAAATACTTTTTATTTTTACTTATTCATATTTAACTGTACATATTCATCTATCACAGTCCACCATTTTAAGACAAACATGAAATACTGCATACACATATTTTTATTTAACAGCTACACAAGCACACATTTGTAATTAGAATTATGTAAATAGTTAGTTCTTATAAGTTGTTCAACTAAAATAACCACTTTGGTTTGAGAAAAAATTATTTCGAAAATTTTATACAATTTGAATAACCTCAAATTATAAATTGTTATAGTGGCAATCGAACCTCGCACACTTCCTTATGACATCAGTAGGTCTATTTCTGAAATGCTAAGTAGTAGCTGCTTAAAATCCGGAAGAAGAGAAATTCGAAAATTGGCACCGAAAAAGTACAGAAACGAAAAACATCATATCAACATTTGAAAATTAAAGATACCATTTTTATTTCCCAATTTAAAACTATTAACAAGTGAGTTGGGTTTCAGAGGTTCAAAAAAGGGTGTATTTTCATTTTTTTTTTCAATTTATATAATCATATATTTTATTTATGCAATTCAGTATATCCGAGATATATGTATATTCAAACAATATTTTGTGAAACTCGTATTTAAAAATTCCGAAAACTCAGGCGTTACTAAGTGATTTGTGAAAGTGAAATTATCGATGGAGTTAGAAAGTACTCGGAAGTTGAAACAATAACCTGTTTTTTAACAGTTCTTGATGCGATCTACAGATCTAATAAATAAGCCCAACCTTGGTAAGTGGTCGATCAAACAACTAATACGAATCAAATAGAATAGAATATTACTTTTCGATTAAGAAAGAATTTACATCACTAAAGTAAGTTATCCTCAACCTATTTCTGGTCAAATTTAACCTGATGGCTTTGCTTTTGCTTTACGACTTTGTTGACAAAGGAACAAAGCTCAAACCTATCACGTTTGTACGAGGAGTAATGCGATGGGAAGTCAGTGCTGTCAGATCTTCCGCGATGTGAATCTGTGCATCGACGGGAAAGTATTGGAGTAAGGAGATATAATCAAATGACGTCAGTTCACTATTGTCATAAAATTAGGACATAAATTCTCGCAACCTGTTGCAGGTTCGAAAGATCCGGAAAATCTGGAAAAACGCGCCGATCTGGCTACTTTTTGTTTTCTAGAAACTTTGGTTTTCAGAAGGAAATATTTAAAATTGACGGACTCTTTGCTCTGAAAGAAATCGCTATAGGAACATTTATTAATGTTCAGTTCTTATTTTAGTTATTTTCGAAACATTTTTTCTCAACCGTTGGAACGAAGTATCGAAAAAATTGTTAATTTTAATTTCGTAATGGAATCAGAAAATAACAAATAAAATTAATATTTAACATAACTATTTATGTCGTTACATACATACATATTTACACTTTATAATAATAATTCAATTTTTATTTAATTTTAAACTTAAAATTATCTACGGGCAAGTGAATTTATATTTAAAAAGCGTCTTTTACGCTAAAATTTTCTTACAGCTATTGTTTAACTATTCTTCATTAATAAAATAGCACACGAGAAACTGTGCTTATAAATTTCGTTTAATGAAATTAATATTGCTGAAAATACACGAAGCATACATACTTATATTTATTGAAAATGTATGCTAAAATTTACATTCTCAAGGAATTTTATAGTAATTTCCATAGAAAAACAAATTTACAAATTTCATTGTTTCCGGGGTTAATGTTAAAAGTATTCTCAAATACGCCCCAAAGCTGAAGAGTGATGAAAGCATTCGATTCACAAGTAAATGTAATAGTTTCTGATATAACTTTAAATCGGTGTATAATTCAATGATAATGGCGCTAAAGGAGCTTAACGACAAAAGAGGGATGTTTATATAAAGAAAAGTATTTTGCAACAAAATTCATTTAATTTGATTCATTTTTGCCGCATGTGTAGAAACATTTATACATACATCAAAGACTATTAACGTCTTTTGCTTCTTCGTTTTTACCTTATTCTTCTTCTTCTTCTTCTTCTTAACGATAATACTTTCAATGCTCGTATTTTACATATTTCCTTATCCGCTAATCTAAGCATGAACGATTTTGTTTTGTACTCGAAATGAATGTAAAATGGTGTAATGGTATTGGGTCTCCAGTTTGTGATTTATAAATATAATATATAGATACACCCACACACATATGGGGTAAGCGAACTGGGGTTGCTGGTCGGTTAGCAGTGGCTTGCTTGCCATTGTTTCTCCCAATTCCCACTGGTTGGTATGCGAGCGTAAGCATTGTTGTTGCGCACATTTATTGGGACGACGCCTGGCAGGTTGGTCGCGCTGCTCGTCTCATCGTTATGCAAAACTTTCCGCATTGAAATGGCATCATTTCAATATCGTCGGTAAGCCTGTGTTCATTAATCGATTACCAACAACAAGAGAGTTGAGATTGCCACCGCCCATCCCCATGCCCATACCGACACCCACACTGATGCCGCCCAAACTGCCAAAGCCACTGCTCGCGCCGACGCTATGCGTTGGAGCAGCCGTTAGGGTTGCAGTTGCTATATTCAAATTATTGCCGCCACTGCCAATGCCACCAACAACACTATTGTGATGATGATGGTGATGATTTGCGCTACTACCATTGGAATTGCTGCTACTACCGCCACTGCCACCAAATGCCGCTAAACTGCTAGCACCACTACCGAAAGCACTCAATCCACCGCCACCACCGCCGCAGCCCGCTGCCATGCCCATCGCGGTGAGTCCTAAACTTGCATGTACACCACCACCGCCACCCAGACCACTGCCACCACTGCTAGCGCCAATGCCAACGCCGCCACCATTGCTGCCACTGCCATTAATGCTACCGCTGCCGCCACTGCTATGACTACTGCCCACCGAGGTGAGACAGTGCAATGTGGCAGCGGCATTGATGGCAGCCGCGCTGCTGCTACTGCTGCCGCTACCACTGCCGCTGCTAATGCCGACACTAACTCCTCCTCCACCTCCACCACCCATCGAACCAACACTGCTGGCTGCGGCAGCTGCATGCGCGGCGTGGGCAGCATGGGCGCTGCTGCCGCTAACAATGGCGTTGCTCTCATATTAGAAGCCACCGCCGGACGATGATGGTCATGCATAATGCGGATAGGAGCTGAGGTGAGGCGCAACATGCGACGGCGTAACATGGCCCATCGAGTGCGGCTGATAGAGATTTGTGGCCGGGTTGCCCCAATTGCCCCACGAAGCGGCCGATGGGAATATCGATGCTGCAATAGAGAAATGGGAATGTGTTATTAGAAATTCACATCAGTGGGGTTATAAAAAACTTCTGCTAACAGTAAAGTGTAATAAAAAGTTTACGATTTCAAAGGCAATAAAATAAAGACGTAAACAATAATTGGTGCTGGGAAAATGAGAAGGAAAGTAAAGCGTGTAAAATACCTGATGACGATGTCATACCATGATGCGGACTCATAAATGAGCTCAGTTTGGCGCTATGATGATATGGTGTCATGAACAAGTCACTCTGGTACTTGTAGGTGGGATCGCTGGCGGCGGGTTGTGTGGCGGCGGCCAAGCCTTGAAAGTCGAACTTGTACGCATAACGTTTGCCATGCACTTTCGTCATAATGTTCTTGTCGTAGTAATATCTGTTGGTGAAATATATTATATTAAGTAATGCCAAAACATAATAACGGTATATGCGATAAAAAATATTCATTTAATCGATTCAGAAATGTTTAGCCAATTAAGACGGGAGCCGCTTTTAAAAATCTTATCTCCGCATAAAAAAGTGCTAAAACGAAACTGGTTCACTCACTAACAAGGCAGAAAATATTAATATTTCAATCACTCACATAAAATCGAGTTTATTTCTACTGGAAATATTTCGTCGCAAGGGAAGCTATGGCAGTTCTAGTTATGATCAGTTTATGATATTTCGAATATGGTAATCAAGGTAGTCTGCTTGCAAATAAACTTACTGTTCAATGGAAGGCTTGGCCTTCTAAATTCACGTGATTTAGAGTTTAAAATGAACTTACGACTACTTTAGAACCTTTTGACGACTCGGCGATATTTAGTTAGTTTAAGCTAATAAATATGAACGGGTTCATTACGAAAATAACCTATAGAGTAATTTTTCAAACGAAGTTAAGACCTCTAAGTTTAAATATTAGTCTCAATACTTTCAATAGTATTATAATAGAATAATAAAATACTCGTATATGGAATTTCTTGCAGTTGTGCATTAAATCATTCCATATTGACCTCCCAAAAAACAAAAAAATTTTTATAGTAGAAATTGTTTAAGAAAGTTAAATTAAATTACAGATGCACGCCTGGCAAATCTATTTCGTGTATTTGAATATTTTCTTCTATCATTTCTAGCTCCAATATTTTACCAATATTAACATAACTCGCTCTTGGCAACTTTTCAAACTCTTCATCATCACTAAAATATAAGGTTTGTGACCCTAAACAGTTTGACAAAACCTGTTTAGAACCCACAATCCTGTCGATACATTTAAAACGCCAAAAATAAGTTTTAAATTTTATCGACTCACCGGATAGAGCTTTATTCGAATAATAATATTCGGTTTATAATAATATTCGGCCGAATGGTCGTGAGTCATCGACTATTCGATTAACCAACAACCAAATTTGTTCAGCGCAAATATTATAAGAACTCCTACCGACAGAATGTCAATGTGTTTTTACGTGAATACCTGTCTATGAAGACTAAACTCCACGGTGCTTTCTATTGCTAGAAGCACACAAATCAATACAATGCGTTGATCAGCGTCCCAAAGCATAAATGCATTTTGCACTTAATTTTTTGGTTCCAATTGGTTCGGGTGCATAGGGACACCCTAGTCACCTTGGTCGGGTTCGAGGCCCATCTAAAATCTCTGCCGTACTTTGGGTCCGGCACCCGGCCGCAGTGCCACTCCACATTGGACAAAATGCTCTTCCTGCATTTAGGTTTAAACCACAGCCACCACGATTCTCCACAAAGGGCCAAACCCAATGAGCAGATTGGAGTTACCTCCAAGGGCTTACTGCTCCCTTGGTACCAGGTTTAAGTCTTTGGTCTGACTTTGTAGCTTTTGCTACTACCAGTTGAGTCCCCAAAAACTCAATGACTGGTTGCATTTGTTGCTGTGACAAATGCCTTATATTTTGTGATGTAAATATAAAGCTAAAAAATTGACTTCCAGCAGAACATTATAGCACTTATCTGACTTAGACCATGTTGACAGCAAAACATGGTCTCTAAAGAGTGACATAGTGCATATGGCTAATAGTCGCCTCATACGACAGGTATGCCTTGCCGCGGGTATATTCGGTTTCCCCTCGAACCCGGAGGGGTCCCCCTACCCGCAGGGGGAATCTTCTACCGACAGTCTGAAATGAGGATGAGGTCTCATTCCCCATATAACGGGACTGCCCACAACTACTAAAAGCGCAATAAATCAATATCTAAATAAGCCAGAGACATAAAATTTTACCTAGGAGATACTAAGTATGTGAGGGGTTATGGTAGTCTCTTTGGTGAAATCACATATCACCTGACCGACCGATTTTGACTAAATTTAGTACGTCTTATTCCACTCTTATTCTTATGTTACTGTGTGAAAATTAGCCTACCTCCCATACAAGTATAACACAATTTTCAATTCTTCTTTATTCTTCCACTTTCTAGTACACAAATCAAGATGTAATTAATACAACGAGATAAAACTTTGCACTAATAATGCCTTTAAAAATCCAAACAAAACCATTCAAAGCGAAAATGAAAACAAAAATCAAAGCCTTCGACTCGAAGCAGAGCAACTATTCGAATAGTCGTAGTATAACGGTTTATATTCCCATGAACGGTTACAAACAGGATATTCGAATAGCCGTGTTTGGGGTTATTCGAATAATTTTAAGAGGCCTATGATGTATGTAATATATGTACATATGTATAGCAGGAAAAAATCAAAAACTGGAAAAAGTTAATAGAAATTAAGAATTAGTTAGCAAGAGCTGTAGTGGTAGAATAATTTTATTAAAAAAATAAATTAATAAAACGTGAAGCGTAGACCAAACATAAGTTGTTGCGAAAATTTACATAAACTTGTATGCAAAAATATAATCTGTAGCATAAAGCAAAGCGCGCAAACTTAACGATGTCTTAAACCTAGTGTGCAAGCATGTAGACAAAGTTAAGTTAACTAATTATTAAAATTTGATTTGATAAGAAAACAAAAGTTGAAAATCCAGTATGTTGATATAATTTTGCATACTTTTATTGCACATACAAACATACCGTTTTGTATATTTTCTAATAAGGAATAAACTGTTTTTATTTAAGAAAAGTGGAAACAGCCAAGAAAATATTGGCTTTTTACTGCTTGAAATGTTCATTTTTCGTGAGTTGTTTTTGGAAGAAGTTGTAAATTATAAAATATTAAGAAATAAATTTGGCTTTTTATTCTCCATCACCCCTCTCTTATTTTGTACACACAAAATAATTGTTCAATATTTTATTTATCAGTTTTATTATGCCAGAAGCAATGAAAAACCTTCATCTTTATCTCTTTATCTTCTTATAACTCGCGTTTAGTATTTATATATACCACAATTCAGACACAAGTCGATAAAGGTTTAAGTTTTGTGGATTAAATTGTTGGTATTTTTGGAATTTTCTTTTTTTTTTTTCTTTCAAAACCAAAAATTTAAGATTTTACTTAGAAGCTTTGCCACTTTTTTTCCTAGTACGATAAAATTAAGATAACTATTAAGCATCATAGTTAAATTCTACATTACCCATCGTCTTTCCTTTTAGGATATGAAAACACTTTTCTTCCCAAGTAAATATCTATAAAAAAGAACCTTAATGCTATGAAATTACTTAATCACAGCTACATTTATAACATTTAAATAATTATACCTATACTATGTAAGAAGACTGGAATGAGATAAACCTATATACAATATGTGCATGCGTCCCTTTGAATTTAGGACTATATTATGACGCATATCATTCTCTACATACACATATTCTAATAATACAATATTTATGATTATATACATATATAAATAGATCTGTGCATATTTGGAAATGTATATTCCTTTGTTGACTGCCAAATTGTAAGCCTCCCCTTTCTTCATAGTTGCGCTTTCTTTGTGTGCTGTGGCTCGTCCTTGGCTATTTTCAAATTTATTTGCTTAACGTTTGTGCGAAGTAATTAAGTCACCGAGATTACTCGTACTACTGTGCACACAAGAACATTCATCTCTACACACACATTTCCCAATACTATGTAAATATTGTTTTTGTAAATACGAAATGTAATAAAAATTCTCTGTAATTGCTAGAGGGTGTTAAAATGCAATCAAATGGCGTCCCATGAAGGCAACAAAAAATATGGAAAATAATTTGTCAGTTTCGTGTTTTGTTCTTTTTTCATATAGTTATGTACCTTAAATACAACTTTTGACATCACGTGGTAACTTTATTTAGTGAAATTGGTTAATCGGTACATAAAAGATAATTTCAAATTAAATTTACTTGAATGATGTATTGTTAAGGTTTCTGATAACCCTCTGGCATACTCAGAACATTTTCACATATGAGCGCTATTTGTATTGTTAACAGTAAATTAAAAAGCACTACTCGGGAAAAAATGGAACTAAAACAACTTTCGAGGTGAATTATCACAGCAACAGTGCAGCAATAAACTTAATTCAATTTTCGACGATGAAGCTCCATCTATAACGAGTGTTTATTGATGGTATGGTTAATTCAATCAAGGTCGTAGGTCGCTCAAAGACAAATTTCGTCAAAGGCGTCCAAAATCAGTTATTGTTCCAGAAACGATTAATGCCGTAAGGAAACTAGTGAGACTAGCAAACTATCAATATTTCCTGAGGATTTCATTGTAAAAAAATTTGGGTTCGTTAGATCCCACAAAATTTGTCACTTGGTTGATTGAAAAGTTAATTAAATACAATTACATGTCCATGAA